AGTTTACTTAAACTAAATATCTGATAAACAACAAATTAGACATCATGTCCCCCTATCAAGTTATATACATTATACGCATTTATTTAGCTCTCCCATTAAAATTCTTTTATAAATTAATATTATTCTGAGTGGTGTTCGTAAGACTCAACAGAAGCAAAGACCATACAGAAACTATATCTTGAATTTCTATACATTAGCAACTAAAGGCATTTAGATTTTATTATTCAATGTCTCTTAGAAAAGGATGTATAAAAATAATTCTTAGTGTTTATAGCCTAGAAATATGTACATTTCTCATTATAAACTATACACTTCCTTTTACACATGCATTTCAAATGATATAAACCACATTATTTCATTATTCTTCTGGAGAGGCAGGATTTATCAGTTAGTAAAATCATCTTCCCTCTTTCCAAACAGTACAGCATTTTATACAGCTTTTATTTTCATGGTCTATTACATATAATCATTTAAGGTAAGCTGCTGGAAATTCTTCTTTTGGAAGCTTATGATGTACAAAAAATGTGAATTAACATTATTAATCCTTTAGAAGAAATAGATTTTTCTATTTTATTTGAACATAGCACAAAAGAAAAAATTAGTTAAATAAAAAAGATTTAAAACTACCTTATAAATTGAAAGGATGCAATTATTGATCTGTTTTTGATCTTAACATATAGTAACCCTTGCTAAAGATGATCAGTGCAGTGTGCTTTGATGTAAACCATACAATTTAACAATGTGAAGTTCATACATTAAAAAATCAAATATTATTCATACTCTTTAGGATCTAAAAGGGCAGGAAGCCATATTTTCCAGTTGCATTTCAGAACTAATCTTATACACCATAGATGGTATCCTTCTTTGCAAGTCTTGAAATAAAGCAGAATTCGTTTTTTTAAATTCCAACATTAATACTAAAATCACTAAGCATCAAAAACTTTTCTCTTTGCTTTGGATATGTCCCCTTAATTTACCTTTCTATAACTGGTTTATGCCACTTAAAGCTTGCAAGTTTTTTTCAGATTTATGAGGGGGAAAAAAAGTAGCAACACACAAATGAAATCTAGAAAAGCACACGACAGCTATAAAAACAGCTCATCCATCATCCCTACATTTTGATTCCAGAGACAGCAGTGAAAGGTGTTGTTTCCACACCACTCACCCAGCACACTTAAAAAGGTTTGTTCCATCACTTATACAACTGAAACTGATTGATTAGCTGCTAGAGAAAAATCAATACAAATATGCTAGAAAACACTAGCTTGTAAATTCATTCTGGCCTCAATAAAATCTTGGTCACTGCCTGACATGTTTTTCTAGATATCTAAAATGCAACCATGTCAAACCTCAGCCCCCAGACGCAGCAATGCCTAGGAATTTTAAAAACCTAAATCTAGACAAAGGTGAGGATGTAAGGGGGAAGGTTTCCCAACAGTCTGTTAAAACAGTGAGATGATACCCAGAAGTTACCTGGTAAATCTTATACTCAGATGCAGAACTACCCACAAAAAAGATAAACACACTGAGAAGGTAAAAAGAGGCAAAGAAAATGTCAAAGGGACTAGGTTCAGGGGTCGGGGGTGGGTGGAGGGATGGGGGGAAGCCAGGAAACCAATTAAATAAAAATTAAATACACATATACACAAACACATATATATAAAGGGTAAATGAGTCTCTGTTCAAAAATATAAACAACTTTGACTTTAATGCTATCCATACAAAAGTTAATAAGCTGCCTTCTTCTCTCTCTTTTTTTCCTACCTGATTGCAGAGTCAGCATTATTTTAGTGCTTTGGGAAACCATTTTATATTCGGAATGATTTCATGAATTACTTCTAAATGTGTCCTTGCCTTTGGGTTGGCCCTTAATCTCTTTGCATTCATTAGACTACTAAGAAGTGCATTTTTATGAATATAAAATGTTTCATAAATATGCTATTCTGTTATTCAGAAAGAAATTGTGATCTTATTATACCATGACAGGCAACCTGGGTTCTATTTCCCATTCCACAATTGGTTTAGAGTTTTTAAAAATCATTTTGTATTTCTACACAAAGTGATTAAAATTTTTAAGAAAAAGAGCAAATGTAATTTTCACTATGGGAAATTTAATTTCCACTGACTTTAAACATTGCACTAAAATTTATTAGCAGCATATTTAAACTTTTTCATCTTAACATAACCTTTCAAAGTATAATATTTGTTTTCCATTATTCATTATAGGACAAAAATTTCATAATAATATAATGCAGAATTTACGGGGTTGTAGCCCACAGAATATTCCTAACAGGTGAGTTACTAAGGACCTAGATGTGCAAAAATTGTAAAACTAAGAAAATGGGTTATTTCTTCTCTATATTTAACTGTACAATTACTCTTCACAATTTTAAAGCTCCAAAATGGAAATTCTATAAGACCATTAAAATCTCACTGTCTTTTGCACGAAAAAAAAGGAGATAATAAACTAATCCAATATCTTCAAAATGTGAGCTACAGATTATTATTTCCTACAGTAGACAGAGATTATAAAGTCACTCTTAGCATGAATTTGTTTTTCTAAAATTAAGAAAATGAAAGGTAATTGTCATACTAGTTTCCCTCTATAGAGACATTTTTATAAAATATATTTTAAAACAAAATCTGTCACTTGATTCTAGTCATTTATGTTGTTACAGATGTTCCAATATTCTCAGTATTTGGAACTGATTTTGATCAGATTTCTCTCTTTGGATTCACCTTAAATTCCTTCAGCTTAAATAATGTCTCCTTCGTAATAAGGACACAGGCAATTACTCCACATAAGGTATCTCAAATTCTTACAGGAAACGACACAAAATGTCACAGCCATAAGAAAACCATGGCTCAGAGAGGCCAGGCACCTTGTTCAGATCATGTGGCTGGTAAATAGCAGACAACTGTTTCAAACTCAAACTCTCTTGTGGCAAAGGGCACCAAATACTTAACAACTTAAAATGTTCCTACATACAATGGCTTCTCTAAGAAACTTAGGACCTCAATATTTTAGTAACAGTTCCACATATCAAGCAAAGTGAGCTTGCCAGTCCAATAACTAGCCTTCAGTTTCAATTCTAATATGCAAACAATAAGACAACATAAAAAAAACTTACATTGCAAATATTCCATGATTGAAAATATATCCACCAATGACGATGATGAAAGTAATACTATATAAATCTCTTCTAATACTTCCTTTATAAACAGCCACTAAGTCACTCCTAAACTCCGATAAGCCACTCACTTTCAGCATCCCCAAGCACTTGGGCATGTTAATGGTAACTACCAATCCAAGTCTGATGGGCATAACACTCGGTGCCTCCGCTGCTCAGTGGGCATTTCTAAAGATAAACCAGGGAGCTAAGTTTGTTGGATATATTTAGAGTAATTCTACAATCATTTCATAAAAACTATGGTTACTCCTTTCTTTTTTTCCCTGAAGTCACATATAATACACAAATGTGTCCAAAACTAGTCTGAAAGAAATATCAAAGTGTTAATATAGATTATAGATGACGAGAGGGGTGAGGAGGCCAAAAGAATACTTCCCCTACATGGTGATTTAACATTTTTATATTTTTCAAACAAATTTTCAGAGTAAAATGAGAGCATTTTTAAATGTTATATGTAGTTGCATTAGAAACGCATAATGTTGAAAAAGTATGTCAAAGAAACCAATCTGTATACCTTCCAATTTGCAGTGCTTGCTGGATAGATAATATAGTTTCAATATTTCCCTTAACTGCCAGATACATACAAATACAACAACCACACAAGAACGTCAGAAAGGGACTATTTTTCAAATACATTTGGTTTCCATGCAAATGTATATGCCCTTTCTGAAGAAGCCTTAAAGCACTTGTAGTAGAAAAGACAACTGCCCAGGCTTTTCCTTACGTAACACTCTCACTCTTAAACAGCCCTGGAGGGAGTCAAAGAGTTTCCTTTCATTTGCTATTTAACACAACTTGAATGGGAACTGAAGAGGGAATTGGGCTAAGAATATAAAAGTAGAAAAAAATTACTGGGGGATGTTAATAAGTCAATCAAGGTTATTTTTCTTTCTATTATAAAGAACATTCGAAATTCATGTTGATAACAGCTTTACACAGACTAAAGATATGTGCTTGGAACTCATACTTGCTGAGATTCAGGGTGTGAAGTACTGAGGGTAGCACTCTAAGTTACTCGCTGAAAGGACAAGTGCACTGCCAACGACTGTTAGCCCACAAGATTTAGAGACAATAGATTATCTCCTGTTGGTTGGGTGTAAAAGTGTACCAATGTTATGTATACATATTAGACACAAAGACAAAAAAGGAAGTTTATGGCTTAAGCAGTTATGTGTCAACCAACACGATTGTGACTCATGTAAAAGATAAATCTTGCTATGTGCTGAGAAAGAGCTAGACGGTCACATTTTCCAGCAAGTGATGATTCACAAGTAGCTGGCCAGCCACATAAAGAATCATTCTCTGCCGGGCTCTCGTCCAGGACCACTCTTCGCTGGCCCAACAGTCCTTTGGATACGGAAGGCCATTTTTACTGGCTGACAGTAAAGTCTACCTGCTCCTTCCAAGACTCTGGGAAACTCTTATTAGCTCTCTTTTCCAATGGTCCAGATATGACTGAAGAAAAGAGTAGAAATCTTAAAAAGTATACACTCAGTCCACAAAAGTCTTAACACACCTTAAAAGGCCATGGATTTAATTTTTAATTTTTGTATTTTCATAGACTCTAAAGAGAGATGATAAAATTCAAATAATGCCACTTACCTTAGAGTCATAAAAAAAGTGGAAGAGTGGTTACAGAATAATAATGTGAATATTATAACCTGACTGACTGACTCTATCAGATAAGCTGAAATATTGGCAAAACTCTTCAGAAAGCTAAAGAAGTATGCAAGTAAATTAAACTATATTAGAAGACTACTGTAATTTATTAGGGAGACTAAAACTATATATAAGTCCAGATGCACTTACCTTGAAACGATTGTTTGGCTCTATCTACTAGTTCATCAATCGGATAACTGGCCAAATTCCCTCTAGCGTGTTTAGTTTTGCAATAGGTACAAGCATTGAGACACCTGTTCAAATGACAGCAATAAATAAGGCTCAAATTTTACAGACAGCACACACTTACATGAAAGAAACCCAAAAGTGCTAGTTTAGTAACATCTACAGTTTATATAAGAGATATAAAAAACAAATACCTACAAACTTCATATTCATTTTATTTCTAACAGGCATATAAATAAATTCACAATTATTTATGTTTCAATCATTCAAGAATGATTGTACCAATAATGGAACACTAACTTAAAATACATATATCCATGTCAAATAAGTTTATAAGTCTTACAATGATTAATCAAAAGAAATTTAAGATTCACATTATTTTTAAATCACTGACATTTCTTTGGCTATCATAAAACTAAAATTTTAGCATCTCTCTCATATGCCACATTATTTGGAAATGAAAGGCATATTCATTTAACTTTTAACTGATACAGTAATAAATGGCTGACACAGCATTTTCATAAAAAATACAACCTTAGAAATTTTGAGATATTTGTCACTGTTTGAAATCAAGAATAATAAATATGTCCAATGTTCAATTTTTCTCACACTGAAATTTTAAAGCCTGATCTTTTAAAACCTTGTTATTCATTATAGCCATTGTTTATCATGTCTAAAGACTACTGGGAAATAATTATGTTTTTTATTTTTTCAATTTATTTTTAATTAGTTAAATTTACCATCCTAGGAGCCACTGAATCCCTGAAGAGATCTTTTTGTTTGTTTCCCAATATTGCTGAGGCTTATCTTTTTAACATAGGTCTCTTTTATTTTAAGTGTTTCTTTTACTTTATAATCAGAGAACATATTTAAATAATACTTTAAAATGACTAAAACCAACATTTTAGTTCTGAAACACTAATTCAAAAGGATGTATGTTCTCTGCGTTATTTTACAATAGCCAAGACATGGAAACAACCCAGTCCATGGATGGATGAATGGATAAAAAAAAATAAAGTGGTGTACATATATACACACAATGGAATATTCTTCAACCATAAAAAGAAGGAAATCCTGCCATTTGTGACAACATGGATGGACAGAGAGAGAATTGGAACTCATAGAAAAATGAAAATAGGGAACAGATTAGTGGTTGCCAGAGGATGGGATTTGTGGGGGGCTTGTGGGGGGTTTGTGGGGAAATGAGTGAAGGTGATCTGAAAGTACAAATTTCCACTTACTAGATAAGTAAGGCCTGGGCAATGTGATGTATAGCATGGTAACTATGGTTATCGATACCTTATATTTCAAAGATGCTAAGAGAATACATTTTGAAAGTTCTTATGATAAGGGAAAAATGCTGTAAATGTTAATGAAACTTACTGTGGTAAAACACTATACAATATATACCTATCTCAGATCATTACATTGTACACCTTAAACTTAGGCAATGTTAGATGTCAATTATCTCTCTGTAAAACTAGGGCTGAGGGGATAGTGAAATAAGTTACTTGCTCTAGGTCTATGAGTTCTGTCCAGAAGGTATCAAGCTGTGTAATATGAAAAACAGAGACATTTATTGAAGAAGATACAAGGTATAAGAAATACTGTGTATAGGATAATGATGCCACAGTCCCCTTCAAACTAGGCACCTTGGTACCTCACGCAATTATCCCAATTATCATCAGCTGCCTTGTCATATTTCCTGAATCTCATCAATGGACTGACATCAATTCCCTTTCAAAGGTGATTCAGTTTTGGGAAAAGCTCGAAGTGCAGGGTGCCAAATCTGGGCTGTAGGGGGCTGAGTCACCTGGGTGATTTGATGTTTTACAAAACAACTCTGCATAAGACATGATGCATGAGCTGACACATTGTCAGGATGAAGCTGTCAATCATCAGTTGCCCATAGCTGTGGCCTTAGGAACCATCCAAACAGCTTCAGCAAAGAAAAGTTCAAGCTTAACGCAAATTTGTTGCTCTACTTTCTCAGTCATTTTGAATGAGACAGCCACACAGTACACTTGTTCACTCAATGGTGTCTACCAACCCCACTGACTAGTACAATGAAATTGTTATTGCTTGTACGTGCGCATTCCAGTCCACTGTCCTTGGCTGCCAGATTACATCAATGTTTGGCAAACCATTCTCATTCTACTAATGATAGCTGGACTTATTTTGTGCAGATCTTGTATAACTCAAATCTCAAGAGCTGAAATTCAAAGATGGACCTATGAGATTTCAAATTCCACACTGTTTTCATAGCAAGCTGCTTCCCCAGAATAAATGTATATCAAACGTCCTAGCTACATAGCTACATACAAATGTAGATAAGACATAATATAAGCTATCATCTGACATGAAATATAAAGTAACATAGCATACATATTCAAAGATATTGCCAATACTCATCATTCTGTGTATGAAGCTATCTGTTTAAAACACATTTCTCACTTTTATTCTTTGGCAATATAAGACTAGGCTTCTTGTCCAGCCACTGGCCCAAGCCAGTTATTCCATCTTTGCTGTTTACAAGTTCTTTCTTTCATCCTCTTGCTAGTTCTTTGGCATATTGTATCGCCTTGTTTGGCTTGCCGTGTTTTTAAAATTCTGTTGTTCAGGTTCTCAAAGTAGATTGTTCTCTCTGACCTTCTCCTCACCTCAAGTGGCTCCATGATCTGCCCAGTGAAGCAGGCCCCGCCATTCATTCACCTGTGATTCCCTGTTGTGATGAGCATTCACTCAAGGTAAATCAGCACCTATTTGAGGAATCTTCTCTACCTCCTGATACTACTTACGTCTCCTGAATCCTTTCTCTTCTTTCTCCCATTACCAATGGAGAGCTCCATAAGTTAAGTGGACAATCTTAATAGAAACTGCTAGCTACTTGGGCTATTTCTTAAATGTAACTGTCTTAAGGGACACCGTTCTGGAGAATGGAAAGGAAAATAGAAGGAGAAAGGAAGCAAAACATATAATTTAAACACTTTTTAACATGAATGAATTAACACATGTAAAGCATTTAAGAGTAAAGTCTGCACCTAACAAGTGATCATTAAATACTGGCTAAGAATTGTTTAATATGACTGTTCTAAACAGCTCTGCAAGAAAATAATTACATATTACCATGTTCCAGGTGTACCTAACCCTATGAAACAGATGTGTTACCAATAGGTTGGCTTAAATCAACTGTGATAAACAAATCATATTTTCCTACTGGGTCACTTAATAAAAGTGGAAAGATATCCCCCATGGAAAATCGCTCACAGAAATGTCCCTAAAAGTTTAAATAAAATAAAGTGATACTTGGAAACATTTATAATAATGAAAATAAGCCAGTAAGTATAAATATGACATTAAGAACTCAAAATATTCTTCACTAAACTGCTCTCTTGGGGTTAATTAGGATTGTTCATGTGATATGTTTTTGAAATTCTAAACTCATTATTGTATGAGATGGTTTCAATCCTTATTTGCAGTTATCAAAATACTTTATTATTTCAGTAAGTGAAAATTTCTGTAGTGTATTTCTTTAAGCATAACAGCACTAAACATTAAATTTGGTATCTTACATTTAAAAAGGGAAGAGATCTGTCATAATCCACAATTATATGCACTACAAAATCAGAAAAAAATATGTTTTTAATGCTATTTGGTAAAAACAATCTTCTCAATCATGAAAAATTATGACCAATCACTTCAGCATGACAAGCCTTCAATGAAATAAAGGGAATCATCACAGAAACCAGCATAGAGAGTTTCACTTATCTGTAAACAATTACATAATTGTCTAAGAATAACACCAAGCCAGTTTCTTTAACTGTCAGAAAACAAAAGAGCTTTGAAGGTAGACTATTGAAAGCCGAAACCAAAAAGGGAATAGCTGTTGAACTTCAAGAAAGACGGAAAACCCTGGACAGACCTAGACTACTGTCTTAGAAGAACAAAGCTGGTTCACCACACTAATCTTTGCAGTGGTTGTTACATGGCCAGAGGCCAAGGCATAACTAAAAACCTCAACAGCAGAGGCACATTAGGCACTCAATTTAGCAGTTTAACTCTGAAATCTTAAAAAGCATCTGTGGTAGAATATTTTTAAATGACAGGAACTAAACACATGAAGTCACAAAGTGTCACAAATTATAATACTTCAAAGGGTTCAAATGCATAATACATGTAAACTTTATAACTGAACCACATGAAACAAATGAAAACTAAAAGTTTTAATATAGTCGGCCTTTTTCTTTTAAAGAACATCTTTAGATGTCACAAGTACAAAATTCAAAAATCACAGTGAGACTTAAAAATTCACCCAAACTAATGTATTTTTATGGGAGAAAAAAAGCCTGATTATTGCACTGGTAAATTCTACCAAGCATACGAAAAAAACAAATACTAAGGATTCTCAAATTTTTATAAAACATTGAAGAGGAGGACACACTTCCTAACTCAATCTATGAAGGCAAAATAACTTAATACTAAAGCCAAATAAAAACATCGCAAAAATAGAAAAGTACAGACCACTGATGCAGAAATCTTCAACAGAATACAAGCAGACAGAATTCAGCAGTATATTAAAAGAATTATATACCATGATTGAGGGAGATGTACTCTTGGAATGCAAGGATGGTTCAAAATATAAAAATCAACCAATGTAATATGCCATACCAACAGAATGAAGCAAAACAACACATAATCATATCAACTAATGCCAAAAAAGCATTTGACAATATCCAACAGCCTTTCTGTATTGTAATAGTCAAATCGGAAATAGAACGAAACTTGCTCGACTTAATAAAAGCCGTATGTAAAAACCCACTGGGAATCTCATACTCAGTGACAAATGGCCGAGGCTTTTCCTCTAAAATCAGGAACAAGGCAAACATGTCCACTGTCACCATTTCTATTCAGCGTGGTACTGGAATGTTCTAGCCTGAATCATGAGACGAGTCAACAAAATAAAATGCATTTAAACTAAAAAGAAGTAAAATTATCTCTATTTGCAGATGATATGATCTTATATGTAGAAAACCCATAAATTAAAAAAAAAACTGTTAGAACTAATAAA